GAGATAGGAAGCTAGGTATAAAGAAAATATGGCAGTAAATAGGTACTTAGCAATAATTACCTTAAATGTAAATGGATTAATTGCTCCAATCAAAAGACATAGGGTAGCTGAATGTATAAGAGAACATGACCCATATATATGCTGTCTACCAGAACAAAAGATTCACACTGGCTGAAAGTGAAGGGATAGAAAAAAATATTCCATGCAAACAGAAAGAAAAATATGCTGGTGTAGTAATACTTGTATCTGACAAAATAGACTTCAAAACAAAGGCCATAAAGAGACAAAGAGAGTCACTACATAATAATAAAGGTATCAAACCAACAAGAGGCTATAACCTTGGTAAACTTATATGCACCCAACATAGGACCACCTAAATATATTAAAAAATACTATTGGTAGATCTTAAGGGAGATGTTGACAGCAATACAGTAATAGTAGGGGATTCTACCACCCCACTGACATCGCTGGATAGATCTTCCACACAAAAAAATAACAAGGAAACAAAGACTTTTAACAACACACTAGAAGAGATGGATTTAATTGATATTTACAGATCATTTCATCCCAGAGCAGCAAAATATACATTATTCTCAAGTGCACATGGAACACCACATATTAGGACATAAAATAAGTCTTAACAAATTCAAGAAGATTAAAATCATATCAATCATCATCTCTGATCACAAAGGCATGAAGCTAGAAATCAACTACAATAAAAAGATTCAAAAACAGTAAACACATGGAGGCTAAATAGCATGTTATTAAACAATGAATGGATATGAATGAGAGCAAGGAAGAAATCAAAACTTCCTGAAACAAATGAAAATGAACACACAACAACCCAAATCTATGAGACACACCAAAAGCAGTCCCAAAAGGGAAGTTCATTTCATTACAGGCCCACTTCAATAAGAAGAAAAAAAAAATCAATTAAACAATATACCCTACACCTCAAACAACCAGAAAAAGAACAAGAAAAGTCCAGAGTAAGCAGAAGGAAGGAAATAATAAAGATCAGAGCAGAAATAAGTGACATAGAAACTAAAAAAACACACAATACAAATGATAAATGAAACCAAGAGCTGGTTCTTTGAAAAGATAAAGATAAAAGTCCAGTTGATGAACCTTCAACTGGACTCATTGAGAAACAGAAAGAGAGGATCCAAATAAATGAATTCAGAAATGGAAAAGAAGAAGTAACTACTGACATCAAAGAAATACAAAAAAATTGTAAGAAAAGGTGATGCTAACAAATTGGACAACCTGGGCAAAATGGACAAATTCCTAGAAACATACAATCTTTCAAAATTCAATCAAGAAGAATCAGAAAACCTGAACAGACCTACTACAACTAATGAATTTGAAGCAGTAAGAAAAAAATAACAATCCAGCAACCTGGACAGTGTGGTTCAGTGGTTGAGCATCAATCTATGAACCAGGAGATCAAAGTTGGCTTTCTGGTCAGGGTATGTGCCTGGGTTTTGGGCTCAGTCCCCAGTAGGGGGAGTGCATGAAGCAGCTGATCAATGACTGTCTCATCATTGATGATGTTTCTCTCTCTCTCTCTCCATCTCCTCTCACTGAAATTAATAAAAACACTTAAAAAAAAGGGGGGGGGGAGTAACTCTTTCATGGCCCTTCCTTTGAAAAAGCTCCCAGGAAACAAAAGTCCTGGACTGGATGACTTCACAGATGAGTTTTACCAAACATTCAATGAAGAACTAACACCTATCTCCCTCAAACTATTCCAAAAACCCCAGAAAAAGGGACCCTTCCAAGTTTTATTTTTGAGACTACTATTATCCTAATTCCAAAACCAGATAAATACACTGCAAAAAAAGAAAATTATAGATAAATATTTCTGATGAACATAGGTGCTAAAATCCTCAACAAAACATTAACAAATCGGATCCAGCAATATATTAAAAAGACCAGCCCAGCCGGGTGTGGCTCAGCAGTTGAGCATTGACCTAGGATCCAGGTGATCGGGGTTCGATTCCCGGTCAGGGCACATGCTCAGGTTGTGGGCTCGATCCCCAGTCGGGGGGGGGGGGCATGCAGGAGGCGGTCGATCAATGACTCTCTCATCACTGATGTTTCTATCTCTCTCTCTCCCTCTCCTTTCCTCTCTCTGAAATCAATAAAGATATATTTTTAAAAAAAGAAGAAAAAAAAAAAAAGACCATACACCATTAGCAACTGGGATGCAAGGTTGGCACCATATTCACAAATCAATAAATATGATACATCACATGAACAAAATGAAAGGTAAAAATCACATGATTATATCAATAGATATAGAAAAAACATTAGACAAAATCCAGCACCCATTTATGATAGAAACTCTCAGCAATATGGGAATAAAAGGATCATACCTCAATATAATAAAGGCCATATATGACAATCCACAACCAACATCATACTCAATGCAAAAACTAAAAGCTATTCTCTTAAAATCAGGAACAAGACAGGGATGTCCGCTTCTACCACTCTTACTCAACATAATACTGGAAGTCTTAACCAGAGTGATCAGACAGGAAGAAGAAATAGAAGGCATCCAAACTGGAAAGGAGCAAGTAAAACTGTCATTATTTGGAGATGAAATGATATTGCACATAAAAAGCCCTAAAGGTTCCACCAAAAAACTACTAGAATTAATAAATTTGGCAAAGTAGCAGGATACAAAATCAATATCCAGAAATTGGAGGCATTTTTATACACCAATGATGAACTCTCAGAAAGAGAAACTAAAAAAGCAGTCCCATTTTCCATTCTACAAAAAGAAAGATATCTTGGAATAAACTTAATCAGGGAGATAAAAGACCTGTTCTCGGAAAACTACAGGACATTGAAAAAAGAAATACAGGAGGATGCAAACAAATGGAAGAATATACCATATTCATGGATTGGAATAATTAACATCATTGAAATGTCCATTCAACCCAAAGCAATCTGTAGATTGAACATAATTCCTATTAAAATACTAAAGTCATATTACACAGATCTAGATCAAATATTCCAAAAATTTATATGAGACCAAAAAAGATCCCAAGTAGCCTCAGCAAGCTTGAGAAAGAATAAATTTGGAAGGATCACAATACCAAATATCAAAGTATACTACAAAGCAACTATATTCAAAACAGTCTGGTATTGGTACAAAAACAGGCATTTAGATCAATAGAACAAAATAAAGAGCTCAGAAATCAACCCATGCTTTTATGCTCAATTAGTATTTGACAAAGGAGGCAAGAGCATACAAGTAAACCCAGTCTCTCCAATAAGTGGGTTGGGGAAATTGGACAGGTACATGCAAAAAACTGAAACTAGACCACCAACTTATCTCATACACAAGAATAAACTCAAAATGGGTAAAAGACTTAAATGTAAATGATGAAACCATAAAAATCCTAGAAGAAACCATAGACAGTAAAGTCTCAGACATCTCTCGAAGCAATATTTTTGCCCATATATCTCCTAGGGCAAAGGAAACAAAGGAAAAAATAAACAAATGGGACTCATCAAACTAAGCTTCTGCACAGCAAAAGAAACCACCAACAAAATGAAAAGGGACCTGTATGGGAGAACATATTTACCAATGACACATTTGATAAGGGGTTAATTTCCAAAATATATAAAGAACTTAACACCAGAAAGACAAACAATCTAATTAAAAAATGGCCAAAGGACCTGAATAGACACTGCTCCAAAGAGGACATGCAGATGGCCAAGAGACATGAAAAATTGCTCAAAGACACTAATTATCAGAGTGATGTAAATTAAAATTACAGTGAGGTATCACCTCATACCTGCCAGAATGGCTACTATCAATAAATCAACAAACAAGTGCTGCTGAGGATGTGGTGGAAAGGGAACCCCACTGCACTGTTGGTGGGAATGCAGAATGGTGTAGCTACTGTGGAAAACAGTATAGAAGTTCCTCAAATTAAAAATAAAACTACCGTTTGACCCAGTGATTCCACTTCTTGGAATATATCCTAAGAATCCTGAAACACTAATCAGAAAGAATATATGCACACCTATGTTCATAGCAGCACAATTTACAATAGCTAAGATCTGGAAACAGCCCAAGTGTTCATCAGTAGATGAGCAGTTAAAAAAGCTGTGGTACATCTACACAATGGAATACTATATGGCTGTAAGGAAGGACTTTTACCCTTTTTGAAAGCATGGATGGACCTGGAGATAATTATGCTAAGTGAAATAAGCCATTCAGAGAAAGACAAAAACCATATGATCTCACTAATATGTGTAATATAATGAACAAAATAAGTTGATGAGCAAAATTGAAACAGAAGCATGGATGCCTGGAACAGAGTGACAAGTGTCAGAGGGGAGGGGGTGGAGGGACTGGATAAAAGTAGCTGAAGAGATTGTGAAAGACATATATGTATAGCCCATGGACACAGACAACAGTGTGGTGAAGGCCAAGGAAGGGGGGCAAGGGCTGAGTGGAGGTGGGCAAAGGGTGTTTCAATGGGTGACATCTGTAATGGCGCCAACAATAAAAACACACACACAAAAATAAAAACAAAACAAAGCAAAAAACAAAAAAAAAGAGGACCCAGGTGGGGATATGCTACTGCAGCTCAGGGTGTGGCAGGAGCTAGGGTCTGTGGAGGCTTCAGCTGCCAGGCTCTGCTCACCGCCCAGCCCTCCTAGGCCCTGTACATGCAGCTGTCTCCTCTTGGCCTGGGGCAGTGCCTTATCCTGGGACTCTGGGACCTCTCAGGGAGCAGGGGCAGAGGGTGGGGTCCTCCCATGTGTTGTTAGATTTAGATCCAGAATCTTCCTGGGGGTCAATCTGAAGCTCTTTGAACTGTGACTCCAGTGCCCACCAGCGTGACTTTGATGGGTCCAGTGGGACACTGGTGTCTGGACGTTCACAGAGGACCAACCAAGTATGGTCTGGACAAGCCCCACCTAGCCACTTAGTGTCTCAGTCTCTGACGTCCCACTAACCCTCCTCTCTTTCTTAGGGTGATTCCGGGAGTCCCCTTGTCTGTGACCTCCTCAACACCTGGATTCTGGTAGGGCTGGCCAGCTGGGGCTTGACCTGCCGGCACCCCATCTACCCCAGTGTGTTCACCAATGTCACCTACTTCGCAGACTGGATCAGGGAGACCCAGAGGCTCGCATCTCCTCCTGACCCCACAGCTGCTCTTCCTCAGACCCAATTTCCATACCAGCCTCTGCAGACTGCAGGCTCTCCTGGGCCTGGCACTGCCCTTGTGCCTCCGCAGACCTGGCTCCCACTGCTGTCTGTGCTCAGGGTCCAGTGGCAGGCCCTGCAGTGACCCCCCGCCCGCACTCCTGCTGTCTGCCTCAGACCCCAGTCTCCATGCCTCCCCTCCCCCAGCCCCACCAGCTCTCTGTGCTTCCTTCTCCTTGGCTTTCCTGTCCCTCAGCAGCCACCCCCCAAACCAAGCCTGAAAAAAGAAAAAGAAATAAAAGTTTCATTTGTTTCCAGTATCTGGTCCTCACTTCCCCTCTCCTGCTCCTTAGTACTCACCGTTCCCTTGGGGTCATTCATCTGGTTCCATGGGCAAGGAGATGGGCCTGGCAAGGAGACCGTCCCAGGAGGAAGGCAGGGGTGAAACGCTGAGGGAGCCAGGTCCAGAGCTGGGAGAGAGCAGGGTGTCTGCACTCAGACTCTGCTCCTGTTGGGGGAGCACCCAGGCCTTCAGAGGCAGCGAGTCAGTCAGCGCGGGGGTGATGCTGGTACAAATACCTCGAATAACAGATAAAGGAAACATGGGCAGCTAAACAACAGGAATTTATCGTCTCTCAGTCCTGGAGGCTAGAAGTTTGAGGTCACGGTGTGGGCAGTGTTGGTTTCTCCTGAGACCTCTCTCCTTGACTTGCAAACGGCCCTCTTCTCCCTGTGTCCTCAGATAATCCTCCCTCTTGTGTGTCTGTGTCCTAATGTCCTCCTCTTATAAGGACACCAGTCAGATTGGATTAGAGCCCACCCTAGTGACCTCATTTGAACTTAATCACCCCATTAAAGACCTTATCATCCAACACAGTCACATTCTGAGGCACTGGGGCTAGGGCTCCAACAGATGGGTTTTAGGGAACACAGTTCAGCCCATAACCGGAAGTAAGACATTTAGCCAGGTGTGTGCAATGCAGGGGAGCAAGGGTCTTTCCAAAAGTAGAGGAACATCCCTTCTAGGCCTTGGAGGAAGACTGATTCCTAGTGCAGGTGGAGGGAAGTTCCCAGAGGGCAACTGAGCTAGACTAGGGTCCATGACCCCAACCATGAGGAAGGGAGTCCAGCCTGTGGTGTAGTGGGCTCTCAGATGTGGGGAGGGAGCTGGCAGAGTGAGTCAGAAGCAGATAGAGGAGACCAAATGCCAGACTGAGAGCTGAGGTTCAGGCCAGCAGGCCTCAGACCTCTGCTTCTGCATTGACTCCAGTGCCCTCCTCACCTATCCCCGTGGCCCCACTTTCCTTATCTAAGGGACCCAACCAACTTCCCACCTCCATGGTCCCAGACCCTGTGTGAAGCTCTCCCTCTGTTCAAGGCCCCAGGCTATCCTGCCTTGAGGTGCCCACACATGTTCCCCAATTGGACCCTGGTGTCACCTTTCTTGCTTAGCTTCTCCAGGACTTGGTGGCCAGGCAATNTCTTGCTTAGCTTCCCCAGGACTTAGTGGCCAGGCAATAAGCCTTGACACAATGTCCGAGGTCATTCGTCCTGGCAATCTGCCTGACACAGGGGCTTTGTGCAGCCATCAGGCCCCCAGCAGGCCTCACAGTGCACCTAGCCCAGCCTTCAGAATCCCTGAGAAAGTGGGAAAGCTCCTGTTCAGTGCATGTCTAGGGTGGATCAGATGCCATTGGAAAGATCCAGTGCAAATTCTTTCCAATTCTGCCATTTCCCAAATATCCTGACCCTCACTGGAAGGTGGTCGTAGTTACCAGCCTATTAACACGGAGNTGCCATTTCCCAAATATCCTAACCCTCACTGGAAGGTGGTCGTAGTTACCAGCCTATTAACACGGAGATCTCACTGGCTTGAGCCAGGAACTTGCTCTGGAACTCCCTTCCCAAGGTAATCTTGGGAGGCCTTGAGAAAGTGTCCGCCCAGTGTCCACCCTGCATGGGCATTTCCGGCTGTCTTGGTCTCTGGCCATCCCTCTGGCTGGAGCTCCACCAGGGTGAGACCACTCTGGGTAGCTGTGTGCCCACCACCAGTGTCAGCCTTTAAGAGCTCCCCTGTTTCTAAAGGAGGTAGGTGAACCTTCTCTCCCTTGGTGGTAAACCCAGTTATGGGGTCTCTGGCAGGGTTCCTCAGGCCCCTGGATGACAGTGTGGCTCATACACATTCTCCAATTCACATGGAGAAACTTACGGAGGAGCTGGCAATGTTACATATTTTGACCTAATCTAGGTGGTGGTTGCACAGGGATATAGTCATGTAAAAAGTCACTGAGCTGTACACTTAGGATTTGTGAATTTTACTTTTTTAAAAAAAATTTTAAAAAATATATCTTTATTGATTTCAGAGAGAGGAAGGGAGAGGGAGAGATAGAAACATCAATGATGAGAGAGTCATTGATTGGCTGCCTCCTGCAAGCCCCTGACTGGGGATAGATACCGCAACCCGGGCATGTGCCCTGACTGGGAATAGAACCCCGATCACCTGGATCCTAGGTCGACGCTCAACCTCTGAGCCACGCCCGGCCATGTGTGAATTTTACTTTATTCAATTCAAATAAGCTACAAACATTTAAGATAATTTGCATGTGCCTATAGCCACTGATGGTTTTAAAACATGTTTGCAAATCATTTGATGCTCCACCCTTCAAAATGTGCAGCTTAATTCCCCCCCTTGAAGGAAGAGAAGTGATGCTATGTGACTTCTGAGGCTGGGTCCTACAAAGCATGTAGTTTCCCCCTGGCTCCTGGCTCTCAAAATGTTTGCTCTTTGGTAAGCCAGCACCATGTCATGGAGACATTCAAGCAGCCTTGCGGAGAAGCACTCAGAGTAAGGAGCTGAGGCCTCACACCAGCAAACTGTAGCAACTTGCAGTCATGTTGATAGTGGGGAAGGACACGTAATAAAAATAGAGCTACAGTTGTTTAATAATTATTTACAGTACTAACTATAGATAAGAGGTTTTCCTAGGAAACTGGAGGATGTGTTGCAAGAAGAAAAACAGGGCTGTAAAAAGAAATGCATTTTAAAAGCAGACCAAGGACAGGACATGCTTTAGCTTGGTTGCTGTGCCTGGACTCTGACCTCCAGAGTTGGCCTCAGGAACACTGACCATTCTGCAGTCCCAGGAATGGGCTGAGCTGTTTGTAACATCATAGATTAGTCACCTTGTTATTGGACTTTGAGCTCCTGAAGCTGGACTGCAGACCTTCCCCTCCCCTTTCCCTATTGCACTTGAAGCTCACAGCTGCATGCACTTATCTTTTCCCTCACTGGTATATAATCAGCTGACTGGTGAATGGGATCAGAGCAGAATTTCCAGGGTAACTGACTGCTCTCCCCATACTGCCAGCATTAAAAGAATAAACAAATCTCTTGTGTCCACTATCAAAGTGGGTCAGCCAGTGTGCACATAGGTCCTCTGCCCATGATGACCTCAGATCCCTGAAGCCATCACTAACAGTGACTACAACTCATAAGAGACCTGGAGCCAGAGCTACAAGGTTAAGGTGCTCCCAAGTTTTTGTGCCACAAAAACTGCCAGAGATACTAAATGTTTCTTCTTGTTTTAAGTCAGTAAGTTTGGGGGTAATTTGATACACAGCAATACGCAAGACCTGTCTTCAGGGTTAGGGTTCTCTTTGAGTAGGATATTTCACAACTGTAAATGATTGAAATGTTTGAGGTTCTTTATATTTTAGATTCTAATTTGGAAAAACAGTTTTGAGTGCTGTGTAGAAGGTAATATTTAAATTAAAACATATCTGGGTCTAAAAATTTAAAAATGCAAGTAACATTGTTGGGGGCAGAGATGTTGATCATACTCTGTTAACCATGATTGTGAATGGGGAGAGGGCACCTAATAGGAATAGGACCATAGTTTTCTAATGATTATTTACCTTACTAACTATAGATAAGAAGTTTTCATACAGACCCTGGGAAACTGGAGGATGTGCTGCAAGAAGAAAAACAGAGCTGTAAAAAGATGAGACACCTTGGGGCCTGGATGAGTCCACTGATCAGAAAAGAAAATGCATTTTCAGAACAGACAAAGACAGGATGCACTTTGATTTGGTTGCTGTGCCTGGAGCCTGACTCCCATCTGGGAGTTTACCTCAGGAATGCTGACAATTCTCAGGTCTCAGGAACTGGTGAAACTGGTGTTTAATACCAATGAAAATTAACTATCTTGTTTATCTGACTTCAAGATCCTGGAAGGAGACACATGGACCACAGACCCTGCAGCCATCCTCCCCCAGGCCCTTACCCCTTGCATGTGCCCCTATATAACCAGCCAGGTAATAAGGGAAGGGCAGAGCAGATTTTATG